GCAAAAGGCCCAGGGGACGGCCAAGATTAACCTGGTGCAAACATATGGAAAGAATCTGTTCCAGACTGCAGTTGTCTTTTGCCGAAGCTCAGACTCTGGTACAGGATCGGGAACGTTGGAAGCACTGTCTGGCGCGTCTGCCTCCGCGACCCGAAAGGAGAAGCGGCGATGGAAGATGAAGATGAAGAAGAGTATCCGCCCGGCTCTAGCACCGTTACAGTATTACACAACGCGTTTCGAAAAATCTCGTCGCAGATTGCGTGAACGTGACCGCTGCTCCGTTTTTGAACTCACGATCAACTTGCACCTGTTCAGTGCTGTTTATGCGTAACGCACGACGGTGTCTCAGCACAGAATTATTCTAACGCTTCTTTGTGGCGAAAGAAGAAATAGTTAATCAGCATCACGTGAAGTGAAAGCTAGGTCCGAAATGTCAGATAACCTTAATTAAAGAATATCTTATGCATTGTCTTCCTGTACGTGACTTACCAAAGCATCATATCATCTCTCGCATAGAGAAATCATGTACTTTCTTCTATATTACATAAATTTAAATTTCATGGCGGAACACTTACGAGAATGAGTGCGCTTGAAAACTTTCTCAGCCATGAAATCTTGAAATCGCTGTGCATAGAAATTCGGGTGATGCACTGAAATCGTATCCTAGATCGAGCGGTTTTAACTGGTACACAAAACACACAGCGCAAGCGACATACGCCATCATGCATTACGCTTTTCCAGGAATGCTCAAATTTCTTGAAAAAACGATAACTCTGCAAAATGTCGATGACGCCAAGGAAGAGAAGCAGGCGCTCCCCTTTTGAGTTGCTTGCAGGTATACCGCCAGCTCTACAGCAAGCACAAGATCATTCGTAATAACGTAAAACAGAAAACAACTACTTACGGATACTCTTCACCAAGGTCAGTCCTCACTGATTCCCAAGTATTGAAAACGGTTTTCTGGCGAGTAATCCTCCTCAAGTCTGAAAAGAAATGGCATTAGGTATGTAACTGTTAAAAATGGGCTGCACATAACAAGAAATCGACCGTCTTTCAAATGTGGCAGTCTATTTTCTTAAAAAATTAAATCACTCTGCTGAAAAAACGGAAGATGCCGCATCATCATAAAGTAGATGCTAAGAGAGTAAAAAGACAGAGGCGGCAAAAAGCAAATTCCAGAGAAATGCGCTTACTGTATGGGCCGTGGCACGATTTTCACATTTCTCAAATCTAGGAAAGTTTAATATAAATATTAGGAATACACTAAAATATGCAGATTGACAGACGCTGAAAAAGCTTAAAAGGATACATGAAATTTACTTAAAATACCCTTAATTTTGGCTAAGCGCTATCATGCCGGATCGAAGCCTTCAAGCGCATCAAATTCAGAATTCGCACATAGTTGAAAGCTCTGATTCGGCATACGGTAATATGATTTCCTGTGCGGAATCGTTCACAACGTTGAAATTTTGTTACTGCATAGCGAAATTCAGTTTGAGTGATTAAATGTCGAAAACCGTATATACCTCTTATACGTATCTGTAGACTGAAATAAATTGGCAAACAAAATGATTTATCTTCAAAGTTAAAACGAATCCACGTATATGCATTTTAATGCGCGCTTCTGACGGGATTCCGGCAAAAGTCATACGCATGTTCGTCATGCGCTTATTTAAGAAGTCTGTATAACACACCTATTGATCGGAGAGTCATGTTCAACATCAGCAGCGATAACCGTCGTTTGGCTGATTATCAAACGAGAAGCTGTTAGTGAAAGTAAGACTCACGTGGATAATTCTGCGTTGATGCAGCGTTGATTTCGATGTTATCTGCTGATAGTGTTCGAGGAGACGATGTCTAAAAGATAGTCATTCGCCCACAAAAATATATTTTAAAATAATAACCTCTTTTTCCTTGAGTGCTTGGTCAAGATTGTGTATACCAATCAACAAACTGTAATCCATGATTTTGAAGCTTTTTAAAACCTAATTTATCACATGTCATAGCAACTATATAAATCAAAAACTGTATGTCTGCCTACCAAACAGTCTCTGCTGATGATTTTCATAAGAGCGTCATATGTCGCGGAATCCAGGTTGAAACCTTCAGGGTTAATTTCCAAGAAGTCAAGATCTTTCAGCGTCGGACATTCATTAAGTTTTTCATACTTCGAAGCTCTTCGCTTATAAGTAGACCCTTTCAGATCGTACTTTCGATGCAACTTGATAGTCGAGGGCAAGAGATTATTCATCACCAGAAGTCGAACGTTCTTACCCAGTGTCTAGAGAGCAACATCGGCGTAAAATACATAATCAGCAAACGAAAACGTATATGAAATAAACTATAGTATTTTTCAAAAAGAAGTCGATGCATCCAATGTCACCTGCAGTGCTTCGTTTGAGCCTGGTTAGATTAACCATGCCTGTAGAATGCATGTGTAGTAGCACTGCACGTTGCATGTAGTCTAAATCTAGCAAGATTTCCCTTTCTATGTGAGATAGCAATGGTACAACTGAGATCTGTTCTTCACTGCACGCAGTCTTTTCGACTTTCACACAGGATTATTTTCAGTATACTGTATTAGTGTTTTCTTCAACTACAATGGCACATGCAAAAACCTCTCATAAAACACCAAAACAGTCAGATAAAGGAGGTAGCAATAACGAATAGCTGACGCAATTAACCATGCCTTGCAAGGCCAGTTTGAAAACAACAATTTACTAAATTAATTTATTTATCAAATTTTATAAATTTGTGCTACAGAACAAACATCGCTATGGGTTCTGAAAGCTTCTACCAGGCCCTTTTTTATTTCCTGTAACAGTACTTAATTGAAAAGACATGTAGGTCTC